GTTTAGTCGCCGGCGAGCCCGACGCGGCGGCGGAAGTGGTTTTGGTCATTTCGGCCACCAGAGGGGCCGCGGAGACCACCGGAGTGGAGCTGAGGCCAACCCGCAGCTCTTGGCGGGGCCCGTTGGGGTCGGGGTGGCCGGAGTCGACGGCGGCGAGCTCGGCTGCGGCCGCCGGGGTTTGGTCGTGCACGGGAACGGTGCTGGAGCTCGAAGTCGAGCAAAGCGAGGCGCTAGGGATGCTCTACGGGGTCTTGCGAACTCGTTGGGCTCGTCGGGGTGACCAAATGGTCACCGGAGCTGCGTCGACGGCGAGCTCGGCGACGGCGGAGGTTCGGCCGTGGTGGGGAGGTGGCTACGGTGAGGGAACGAGGGGAAGGAGAGGGGGAAATGGTGGCGTAGCTCACCGCGGTTGCAGTGGGCGTCGAAGTGGGCTCGGGGACACGCTGGAGACGGCGAATCGACGGCGACGGTGGTCGGAGCCCGAAGAGGGGAACGGCGACGTGGCGGCGATGCAGGGCTTCCGGGGAGCTGTGGAGCGGTGGGGAGGAAGAGGGAGTCGAGGCGGAGCTCCTGAGCTAGTCGGGGGAGCGAGGGGTGGTCGGAGACGGTGGCTATGGCGAACGGCGGCGAGTGTGGTGCTCGGCCGTGTGAGAGAGAGAGCGAGGGAGAGGAGAGGAGAGCCGGGGAAGAGTGAGAGAGAGCAGGGGGGAGGGCGTGGCGTCGTCCAGGGCGTCGAGCGAGGAGGGGAGGCCAGGCAAGCAGGCGAGCAGGTGGCGTGGCGCGGTGGCGCGCGCGCGCGCCGGCCACACTCCCCTCCCTCTGTCGGGACGAAGACGACAGAGGAGGGAGGTGGGCTGGGCCGGCTGCTGGCTGGGCCAGCCAGCTGGCTGGGCCGCACAGTGGAGGAGCCCAGGTAAGCTCCTCCTGTTATATATTTTTCTGTTTTTTAATTTCTGACATTTGTTTTGATTTAAATAATATATTAAATCATTTATTTAACTTATGCCAATTTTTGCAGGAGCTATTTATATTATTCCAGAGCTCTTTTATAATTGGCATAATATTTGGGCATATATTAATATATATAATTAATATATTTCCAATGCAAATATTTATGCATTAATTCCAAATGCCCAAAATAAATGTCCATGAGCCACTAAAAATATTGGTTTGATTTTTATCTCTGTCCAATATTTTCAGAGAGCAACATGAGCATTTTCTTGGATCCTTTTGGAGAAATTTTTATTTGGGTCATTTTCAAAATGGTTCTGAGGGTTTCACAGATCCCCATTTCAAGTTTCTGATGAAAAGGTAAACATGATGCAACACTCTAATGCATGACTAGCTAGGGTGTGACAGTTGTCGACCTCGATGGAATACAAGCAACTATGGGGCCCGCATGTCACTTGCAAGTGGATCATCGACTTGCAACTTTGGGTAGTTACTCAATGTCAGTTGCAACTCAACCCTGGACTTGCAACTAGCCAATTTTTGTGTGCTGCTTTGTAATTGCCCCAGTAGATGTCCACAATCGTCTCACAACTTCGAGGGCCCGCATGCCACTTGCAACTAGACCATCGACTCGCAACTGGTCTTTTGTGTTGTTGTATGTTGTTGTTTTTGTTCTTGTTGTTGGTTGTTGTTGTTATAGTTGTTATGTTGGTTGTTGGTGGTGTTTACTCGATGCCACTTGCAGCTTGACTGTCTACTAGCAAATGGTCTACTTGCAAATAGACCATCGACTCGAAACTCGTCTTTTTTTTACTTTTGTAATTGTCCTACTTGCAAGTCCACCATTGAATCACAAATGTGGGTGATCGCATGCCAGTTGCAAGTAGACCATCGACTCGCAACTATGATTGTTTTAATCGATGCCACTTGCAACTTGACCATGGACTTGCAACTGGTCTGTTTTTATGTAGTATTTGCAATTGCCCTAGTTGCAAGTCCATCATTGACTCACAACTGTGACGGACCCGCATGACAATTACAAATAGACCCTCGAATCGCAACTGGTCTGTTGTTTTTTGTAGTTTTGTAATTGCCCTGGTTGCAAGTCGACCATCGACTCGCAACTGTTAGTGCCCGCATGCCACTTGCAAGTAGACATCGACTCAGAACTACGGTTGTTTACTCGATGTCACTTGCAACTCGACCATCAACTTGCAACTCGGCTTTTTTGTTGTTGTTTGCAATTGCCCTAGTTGCAAGTCCACCATCGACTCGCAACTGTGGGGGCCCGCATGCCACTTGCAAATGGACCCTCCACTTGCAACTGGTCTGTTTTTGTTTTGTAGTTTTGTAATTGCCCTAGTTGCAAGTCCACCATTGACTCGCAACTGTGGGTGCCCGCATGCCACTTGCAAGTATAAAATCGACTCGCAACTAGGGATGTTTACTTGACGCCACTTGCAACTCGATCATCGACTTGCAACTTGTCTTTTTGTTGTTGTTTTGCAATTGCCCTGGTTGCAAGTCAACCATCGACTCACAACTGCGGGGGCCCGCATACCACTTGCAAATAGACCCTCGACTCGCAACTGGTTTGTTTTTTGTATGTAGTTTTTACAATTGCCCTAGTTGCAAGTCAACCATCGACTCGCAACTGGCCCGTATGCCACTTGCAGATAGACCCTTGACTCGCAACTGGTCTATTTTTTTGTATGTAGTTTTTGCAATTGCCCTAGGGGCAAGTCCACCATCGACTCGCAACTTTGGGGCCTGCATCCCACTTGCAAATAGACACTCGACTCGCAATTGGTCTGTTTTTTTTGTAGTTTTGTAATTAATTTCCCTAGTTGCAAGTCCAACATCGACTCGCTACTGTGGGTTCTGCATGCCACTTGCAAGTAGACCATCGACTCGCAACTAGTGTTGTTTACTCAATGCCACTTGCAACTCGACCATCGACTTGCAACTTAGCTTGTTTTGTAGTTTGTTTTTGCCCTAGTTGCAAGTCTACCATCGACTCACAAATGTGGATGCCCGCATGCCACTTGCAACTCGACTATCGACTTGCAAACTCATTTTTTGTAGTTTGTAATTGCTCTAGTGGCAAGTCCACCATCGACCCGCAACTGGTCTGTTTTTTGTCTGTACTTTTGTAATTGCCCTAATTGCAAGTCCACCATTGACTCGCAACTGATCTGTTTTTTGTCTGTACTTTTGTAATTCCCTAGTTGCGAGTCCAGCATTGACTCGCAACTGTGGGGGCCCGCATGCCACTTGTAAATATACCATTGACTTGCAACTAGGTCTTTTTGGTTTGATGCCACTTGAAAGTCGACATTCCCCCTGCAACTGGTTCATTTGTTTTTTCATGCCACTTGCAATTGGACACTCGACTTGCAACTGGTTTTTTATTTTATTTTGATACCCACTTGCATGTGGACACTCGGCTTGCCATGTTTTTTTTGTTGATTCCAGTTCAAGTCAATGGTCAACTTTGCAACTGGGTTTTCTTGTTTCATGCCACTTGCCAGTCGAGGGTCGATTAGAAACTGTGGGGTCACTTTTTTTTGTTGCCACTTGCAAGTAAAGTGTCATTATTTGCATTGTGTTTTGTGATTTTACAGAGTCAACCATTTTTCTTTTTTGACTTGCAACTATGATTCTTTGTGTTCGTGACTCTTTTTTTGCAAGTCCAACCTTTTTTTGATTCGATAATTTATATTTCACAAACACTTTTTTCCGTATCTTTTTGAAGCTAAAATTTTGCAACCAAGCGCCAACTAATAACTTGAGAGCCCCTAGTTGTTACTCCTTAGTGAACACATAAATATGTTTTTTCTCCTTTTTTCATCTCTTTTTTTGTTGATTTTGTTGTAGGCGCACTAGTGTTTTTTAGTGACCTTTTTTTAATCCAATTTTTAGTTTCACATTTTTTACAAGGACAGACCCCCAAAATGCTTTATCTATGTGTTTTTAGACTAAACACAGTGTTCAGAGAGACATACTTCAAGTTCAGAGAGTTTGACTCATCATGTTCAGTAATCGCTCAGATTGTCCCCTTGACTCGTCAGTCAATGTTCGGAGAGTTTGACTCATGAGTCAATGTTAAGAGAGGATGCCTTCATTTTTCAGAGAGTTTGACTCATCAGCCATTTTTTGTCACGGTTGTCACATAGGCAACAACCTTATCTTTTAGTCATGAAAGAATGAAACCCCCCTGATGTAGTGTTTGTCAGCACCCATGTTGTGCCAGTTTTAGAGAGATGTACGTCTAGCTATGATTTTTTAACAGTGCTCTAGAGAGATGTGCGGGGCTCAAAAAAGCCCAAAACTGACAAACCAAAAAACAAACAATGACAAAAAAACAACTGAAAGCTGACAACCCAAATAGTGAGAACCAAAGAGGCCCGTTCTTGTGTTTTTTTTTTACCAAGAATAGCGATGGTGTAGGCTTGCCAGGAAAACGGGCTGAAACAAGAAAACGCGATGTCATGCATATGTCATGTGAATGAGACCAATTTATGTTTCATTCGAATGAGTTCCAGGCACTCCCATTAAAGTAATGAACTCCATGTATTTGGAGGTGAAACATTGTAAGAATCTTTTAACTTCCGTACACGTAGTACAAATTTATGGCATATTTGAAAAGATTATACTGTACGGGATTGCACAATCTCAGTCGACTGAGACTTAACGAAGTCTCATTCAATGCTATATTCGTGAGATCTTACGTGAAGATCTGTGCAAAATTTTCTTTTAATTTCTTCTTTCTTCCTTTTTACAAGCTGTGTAATTTCTCTTTTTACCGAGACTTGGGTTAAGTCGAGATATAGCCACACCCGTATACCGTATTAGAAAAACAAACTAAATAACAAATTGTGTGTGCCTTAAAACAATCCAAACAAAATAAACCAAATTTAATTTTATATGGGGAAAACTGTTGTGAATGGATTCTGAACATTTTGTTTTGAATAAACTAAAATCTGATTGTAAAAAAATGCATGATCAAAAAATATAGACGGCTAAGACCATGTTAAAATTTGTCTTACTTGTTTCGTTGCTGAGCTGCTCTCCGAAGGCGATGACAGGGAGCGCGGAGGCGAAGAATATGTACATGGTCGGTGCCAATATCCTGGCAAACATTGGAAGGGAGGAAACATAAGCAAATCCCTCAGTAAACATGTAAAAAATGATCTTGTTGGGGTTGTTTAAATTATATACAAAATACAAGAAGAAAACTGACCCGAAGCCAGCTCGAAGGCCTGCAAGCCAGTCGTCCTTGTACCAAGGCGCTCTCCCTTGGACATCTGCGACCACTCCCTTGAAGGGGCTCCGCAGTAGATCCATGAGCTGATGAGAGAAACAACCTCAACTATTATATACTCCCTCTGTTTCTAAATATAAGTCTTTGTAAAGATTTCACTATAGACTACATACGGAGCAAAATGAGTGAATGTATACTCTAAAATGCATCTACATACATCCGTATGTGGTTCATAGTAGAATCTCTCCAAAGACTTATATTTAGAAACGGAGGGAGTAGAAAATAGGCATCGAATCAAAGGAGGGGAACAAATAGAACCCGGTAGTAGGTGCACCCGTTTCTTAAATAAAAAGTAACCAGAAAAATAGTCGAAAATCATGAATTTTGACAACAAACTTGCTTAAGCGTTACACTTGCGTAAAAATGATTTGCAAAGAAATGATTTTCATGGTATTGTTGGCGAAAAAAAAAACAAAATCAACACTATATTATAGTTATACTAATGGCTGGGAGTTTTTCGTTGTCGAAACTTTTGTACAAGTACGCCAGTAGGAAGTTTGTTCGAAAAAAGTTTCAAAGATTTTTGAATTTCTCCTGAATTACTAATTTTTTTTCCCAGAAACCTGTATTCATCAGGTTCATTGACAAGCAGATGCGATGTATGAAGGTATTTTCCTCGGATCGGATGGCTTGAACATGAAGAGAAAAAACTGTCTGTCTGCTTTTACTTTGACCAGAAAGAAGTTGGTAGTAGCAGTAGTACTAGCTACCGATAGAAACGACGCACGGGGTGAACTATAGTACTCCTCTTACACACACGACTTGACGACGAAGCACTCATCACCTCAACTTGTTACAAAAGACGTCAACTCTTATTAACTATATACAAGAATTTTGCTATAACGAAAGGAAATCAATCCAGTCGTAGACGTGGAAAATCAATCGCACAATTAAGCAGGCACGTGATCGACTGCTTTTCTTGTAGTACGTACAAAGTGGCAAAGCTGTGAAATGGAACGGGAGCCGCCGGAAAAGCCAGCTCGTCACATGACGGACTGGCTACTGCATCCATCCATCCAGGCGGCCGGCCGGCCGGGAAGCATCTGATGCCGACCAGACGGCGCGCGGACGAAGGAGCACCGCCGATCTCGCCCGCTCACGGGCCTACTAGCTACTAGAAACCAAACCGACATGCGGACGGACGGGAGAGTCGTGCGCACGTACCGGTGATCCGAACGCGCGGCGGCGGCGGCGGGGCTGGGAGGAAGGGAGGAAGCGGCGCGCGGCTAGCTCCGGTCGGCGACGAATGGCGGGGCCTCCCCCGCGCGGCGGGGCGGTAGAAAGAGCTGGTGTAGTGTGGTTGTTTTTTTCGAAACGGTGTAGTGTGGTTGTGGTTCCCCAAGGCGGCGGCGACGCGGTGTGGTATCTTAGGCCCCGGCCACGCCGTGTGCGGCTACTTATACGCGGGCGGGGCGAGACAGACGGAGGAAAGTCGATTTCGCCTTCGCCCTTGCCTTGCCTTGCCTTGCCTTGTGCGGCTCACTGACGAGTGGGGAGGAAGGAAGTGGACCGGCATCGCGGCGGTTGGATGCAAGTGTCTGCTCCGTCCCGTGCCGCGATCGGGATGCACGGACACGTACGGCTCATCAAACGGACGGACAGAAACCCAGATTATTGGTTGCATTGCATCAGTGTTCAGTTTATAACAGCCACTTCTGGGTTTAGTCCATGTAATTTCGTGAGGTTTACTAGCCGGGGTTGCCGCTCCAAAATTTATCGCCAGAGCATGAATAGCAAAAGCAGCATGTGGTGGATTAGCTACAGGTTCACCCTTTACAATCTGCCCATGCTGCCACCAGACATACCAACAAGCAATTGTCACAGCCTCCTGGAGGCCGAGCGTTCCCAAGATCGGGACTTCCTGTTTTTTTAAAGCCACCTCATATATTAATTAATTAAGAAAGTTATTACAATCGTTCATTACAAAATTCACCATGCAGGGTGGAACATCGTTAACAGGGATACTATCCGATCTATTATCGAAGCTAAACTTTGCAATCGTATGGGCCACAACATTAGCCGAACGATCAAACTTGGAATATTTAAAATTATTTATAAGCTTTGATAAACTCCCCGTTTCCTTTTTCAAATCAGCCAGTAAAGACCTGTCAACTATTTCATTTGCAAGGGACGCAACCACAAAAGCACAGTCAGTCTTTAAAATTATAGAATTGTGAAAAGTGATACCTATATATAGACCAACAAGGCATGCTCAGAGTTCCGCCTCCTCCATGCGTTTACAAAGCCCATTGTAATCCCAGGAAGAGACGAGGACCTTCCCCGAAGAGTCCCTTGCCACGCTCGTACTTGAAGCGCTAATGCTCTCCACAAAGCTTGCATCGGCATTAATCTTAATATAATCCGAAGGAGGGGGTTGCCATAACAGCTGAGTTTCCAAAGGATTAGGAGCAAGTTTTAATCCAGACAACGGACCTTTACCTTCATTTTTCGAGTCCACCTCTGGACATGAGTGAATTGCGACAAATGACGACCAATAATTTTCTACAAAATTAGCAGAGGCAGAGACAAGTTCCTTCCCCGTACCAAATATCAAGTCATTTATCAAATGTCAGGCTCTCCAAAAAAATGAATATAATTTGGTCACACGGAATAGCACTCAATTGGTCCAAATGAATAAGAAACCGATCAGACTCCGAATGCTTGAAAACCTCCTCCCCAGGTACATCCCATATGTCCCTCATGACCATACCAACGCTATAAATAGAGCATGAAACAAATAGAGCATGAAACGTACTTTCATGTTCACTCCACAAATAGAGCATGCACTAAGAGTGGCTTGGTGGTGCAAGACTCTGTTTACCTGGACAACCAAACTATTTGTAGCGGCACGCCGCACAAAAATCCGGATCTTCTGAGGAACATTGGCCTTCCAAATAATATCCCAAATCTTTCTCTCCACCAACACAGTGTCACTATATTGTCCTTCGTCTTCTTTACGTTCCTTTAGATTGTAGCAAAGTTCCTCATGCTAGGACAGATGCAATACCAACCTCATGTTCTTCTTCTTCTTTAAAGGAAACTATAGGACATATACTCAGATAATTGGAAATTCGCGCAACAAAACTATTAGAAAGAAACGAAGATCCACCTTCAAAAGAAGCAAACACAACTACTGGAATTCGTGCTAATTTTTTTTGCTGTTGTACGAACAATTGAATTGAATAACCAACGAACATATATGCTCAAATAGAAGTCATGGATTCAGAAATTCCTTGCACGTTCATCGGATCAATGTCGCTCCCAACTCGGACTTGGATCCACGTACGTGTACGTTCCATCATGACTTGGGAACTTGGGATCAGATCAGATCAGATGATCGAATATGGACGTGGTGACCATGGCCATAGAGTTCGATAGCGGCGGACCTGGAGCTCCTGATGGCGGTTCACGAGGCGCTGGCAGCGTCGGATGTGGCGACCCCATGTCCAGAGCAGGTGGCCATGGCCGAGGCCGAGGGTCCCCTATTGTCGGCCATGGATGCCATGGCGGCCATGGCACACAAGCCGCATGAGTGCAGATTCGATCGGGAGCCCCTTCCTTGACGAGCACGAGCACGTCGCGGGCGTGGAGCTCTGCCGCCTAACCTTGGCGATCTGATAGAGGATACGGCGATGGGGAGAAGCGTGGGGGTGGTGGAGGTGGCTGAGAGGGAGATAGGGGAAGCCGTGGGGCGACAGCGGCGGAGTGGGAGATGGGGGCGACTGCTTAGCCAGAAAAGCTTGGTTAAATAACCCAAGATTGCGGAAACCCATACCTCCCTCACCTTTAGGCCTAGTCAAGTTGTCCCAAGCCAACAAATGAGTTCTTCTCCTATCATCCTCGTCGCCCAACCAAAAATTCCTTATAATATGAGATAGCTCCTCACAAAACGATGTCGAGAACTTAAAGATACCCATGGCATAAATTGGAAGAGCCTGAAGAACCGATTTGATCAAAGTTTCTTTCGCCCCAGTAGACGCATATTAATTTTTCAATCCAATCTGATTAAATTTTAAGAGCTTTTTCTTTAATAGATTGAAATTTAGCCGCCTTCATTCTACCTTGAGGCACCGGAAATCCAAGATATTTATCCTCAAAACCTTCAGCAGTAATATTCAAGATTACCATGGTAGGCACTTGATTTTTCATGCTACACTTCTTCTCGAACATAATAGAGCATTTATCTGTGCTCAATAACTGTCCAGTCTCCTTCTCGTAAGTTGAAAGAATATTTATAATCATCAACGCTAGATCAATGGCTTGAAAAACATAAAGCAGTCATCGACAGATAAAAGATGAGAGATACCCGGAGCATGCCTAATTGCCTATTCACCTTGAAATCTTGGGGAGCTCCACTAGTACATGCATCCTGAAGCAACAAAGAAAGAGCCTCCGCAACCAGCAAGAATAGGTACGGAGATAAAGGGTCACCTTGCTTGAGACCACAAGAAGGGGAGAACGAATCGAGAAGTTGACCATTAAAGCGCATAGAAAAATTGATAGACGTGACACAAACCATAATCCATTTTATCCAAACCGTATCAAAGCCCAAAGCACCCATCATTCTTTCCAGAAAGTGTTAATCCACCCAATCATACGCTTTGACTAAATCCAATTTATAAGCACAAAATTCTCCCCGACTGTCCTTAAGCGTGCTCAAAGAATGTATACATTTTTTTTGACTATTCAGAATGTATACATTCAAAGGTTATAAGAGCATTATCATAAATTAATCTCACAAGAATAAGAAAGCTTTGGGTTGGTGACTTCCTATTTGATTTACGGAGTATGCATTCAGTATTTTATTTATAAAACTTGCCATGGTAAAAATAAAGCTGTCATCGTTCCAAAAATTTGCCGTGATCCATAAACTGTATTTGCCATGCTGCATTGAATAGAGTTAGTTTTGCTAAAGCACATCTAGAGGTGCCATAAGTATTGCACATTTAAGTCCTATGTCATTGATCTTACGCAGAGAATTGTTTAGGTATTTTTTGTTTTCTTTTTGTACTTGGTTGAGTCA